AAAAGTGTTAAGAGCCAAGTGAGATATTTGCAGAACTGTGTAGAGAGATGAGAGAGAACTTCAAACTGAGAAAACTGAGGGGAAAACACCTCAAACAGGAGTCACTTTTTCATCTGGGCCTTTAGGCTTAGGGAGGTCTGGATGTGCAGATATGGTTAGGAAGGGTGTCCTAAGCAGAGAGAATCAGACTGAGGAAAATCAGAAACACAGGAAAGCAGTTACTTCCAGCTGCAGCATCAGACTGAAGAAGCAAGAACGGGGGAGACAGAGCTGAGGGCCGAGACCGGGCACACCATGGAGGGCTCTGAAGGCCAGTTATCAACGTCTTAGAGTCTTAAGAAAACACTGCAGATTTCTGATAAATATCATTATACCACACTGCTTTGTGAACAGACATAAAATCAGGGAAAGGCTCAGGTAGGGTGGGGAACAGACAAATAAAAACCCTGTAACAGTTCCACGCCTGTTTACTCTTAGTAACTTGAACTACGTTAGCAGCTGCTAGACAGAATGTTTCCTATAACCAGATGTAGGTCAGGGTGCTGGGAGACACTCCCACAGGATGAAACAGGATAAATGGAACACCAAGGTTTAGCGGGTTGAATAATTTACAGCAACCCTATTTACAACATAGTTACTGGGCACAACATGAGAGGAGGATAATAACGACCAGCCAGGGGCCTTCTAGGACTCACTTCACAGAGTACAAAGAGATGTCTAAACTTAGACTCTGGACGTGAAGAAGGCTTTCTACAAGGAGTGATGAACATGACAGTCACACCTGTAGTGTTTAGACCAAACAGCCTATCACTTCTTATGCTTGACAAGACTGTGTCCCACAGAAGTACTGGGTACGTAGCAAAACGGACAGCACAGGCTCAATATATCTTAGCTGAATCACCACATATGAGTAAGCAGTGATAAAATATTTACTGAGCATCTGATACTATCTGGTTAGCTCTAAAATATATTCTTGATTTGAAGGAAAAATTATTTCACATACATCTTTTTTGGTGGCTGCATTAAGCTATCCCTTTGGCACCACAAAAATCAACACGTTCCAATCAGATCTTATTACCTTCCTGCCAAAAAAATCTCTTCCTGCTTCCATCTACAAGTTATTTACCTACATGGGAGGCAAATATTTACCTTTCTCTTTCCTGTCCCAATACTATTTACTGAATAATCAAGATGGGCTTTCCTCACTGACCTGTAATCCCCCCATTTCTATTCTGTACATTTATTTCTCAGATCCAGGGGTCTGTTTCTCTCCCCTGGCTCCCTTGGTTTGGTTATTTCTCTGTCAGCCCTATAATATTTTAATGACTGCTGCTTTACAAACAGTAGTATGTTTTCACAGTGAATTTACTACTCTCAAGCACTTATTCTAGAGAAATTTTTCAATCAATTTGTCTAATTTCCTTCAAAACCCCAACTTGAACTGCATTACACCTACAGATTAACTTAAGAGAATTCACACCTTTACAATATTGAATTTTACTATCTGAATAAACAAGGTGTTTCTCAAGTTAGTCTTCTTTTATATCCTACAGTAAAGTTACATAGTTTTCTACACAGAGGTCCTGTACATTTCTCTTTACACGTATTCCTAGATATTTCATAGTTTTTATTGCTTATGAAACTAGGATCCTTTCTCTATTAAATTTTCTAAGTGGGTATTGCTGATACAAATGGAAGCTGTTTAATTGTTTTATACTTCTCTTGTGTCTATTTTCTGAGGCTAACATGAAAAAGCTAACAACTTCAGTAGCTTGTCAACCTTTCTGCAAAAAGAAACTTCTATTAAGAGGAGAGTCCCTTGTATTTAATCAACATTTTAAATGTATCTTGAACCTAACTATACATACACACACACACACACACACACACAATCAGTTTTCCACACCCTGTTCAAGTAAGACTGCCCCATACAAAAGAACACCCATGTGATTCCTCAACAAGAGCCTGGCTTCACTTTCTGTGCTTCTAGCTTCAGGACAACATGACACCTTAGCACAAATGACGTTCACTTTATTCAATTCTACCTTCTTCAGACATCCAACATTTTGAATAGCTATTGTATTTACCCTAATTAGGATCAAGTTAGGATCTTTTCTGCTCACGTGTTATAATAACACACTCAAAGCTTCTAAATGCCTAAATATTGCATTAAGAGGAGAGCTTGCCTCTAGATGGCTTCTTTTCTCTCCTGTGTCCATAAAAAATAAGAGTCCTTCAACTTAGTTCTGCCAGGATGGTCTCCTTCAGCTAATCTGTCTCTATCTAATCTTTATCAGTTCACTGATAACGGTCAAATGTTTTCTCCTAATGGATAAAAATTACACATTAAACTGGGAGTTTTATATCAGGTTGCCCACCTTTAAAATGCTACGTTTTTCTTCTACATACTTAAATATTTAAAATTATGTTTAAATGAAATTTAAATATCAGCAAAATACTTAAAGCCATGTCATATAAAACTGTTTTTTAACATGCATTTTGCTCTTAATGTAAACTATCCTCTAATTTGTGGACCATGTAACTAGTCTTTTCCAATAGAATGTGAGCAGAGGTGGTGAGGAAAAATGCTCTCTCTTTGCTCACACTCAGCACCTCTTCCATCAACTTAATCAAGAGGATTCCAGAGACCCTGAAGGAGGTGGAGTCACAAGAAGGAAAGAGCCTGGTTCCCTGAATGAAGGCATGGAGCTGAGGCTCCCTCCTCAGTGCACTATAAGTGAGTGAGAAATAAACTTTTATTAAAGCCACTAAAATGATGTTGTTGTTTTAACAGTAGTTAGCCATCCCTAACTAGACAGTGACAAGAGTTTAGAATAGCAGATAAGGGAAATAAAAAAGGTAATGACTATGATCAAACCGGAGGCGTTATGAGAATCCAGCAAATACTGCATCACACAAATTAGGTACTCACACCAATTCACATTAATAAATTCAATTTAGCTATGTTAAATTACTTTTAAATCTGGTGGTTTAAAAATTTAAGCAGCACAATATTTTTTAATGAAATAATATGTGAAATTCCAAAATATAAACTAGAGAAATGTAGAATACGTGTGAGTTGAAGTAAGATTGACCCTCATCTGCTTAGCACCCCTGGTATTTGTCTGCAGAGCTCCAGAACTCCAAAAGTCAACTTGAAAATTCGCAATTTTATAATATTGTAACATTTAGTTGCTAATGTTAACATTTCTTTTATCAAGATGCATAAGCTAAATTAGTCAAGACTATTCTTTTTGTTTCCATTTTATACTAAATGCTTAATTTAGTTCTCATCTATTACAATGCAACTATTCAAAGCTATGAATTTATCTCTTAGGACAGCTTTGCCCACATTGCTCAGGTTTTTCCATATTGTGTCTGTTATTATCTCCCATTTTTCTCACTGTATTTTCTACTTTCTTTTTTACTGAAGTATTAGTATTGATTCAATAAGTATTTATTTAATGCCACTATGTGCTAAGCACTAAGGATACCGTGATGCACAAGACCAGTATGGTCCCTGTTCTCAGGAAGAGTGAATTTTCTAAGTGATTTTGATTCTTTTAAACTTACACAACTAGTTCCTACTTTTATTATACTATGATGACAACATGTGTCCTGGGTTACTTCTTCAAGTTCATTAGGATTTACAGAGTGGCCCAATACATTTATTGATTCTGCTCATTAGCTCTTTTTCTTCAATAATTCCTCATGTGTATAAAGTAGATCGCCAGCCTCGAACCTCCTTTTCTGAATTCAGGTGTATGTCTCAATTCTATTCAATATATTGCTAATTTGACTAACTACTTTTTTTAGTGTATTTAATCAGTTTTGTTTTCCCTTGGTTTTGTTTGTTCTTTTGGATGCAATCTCCTTTCATCGAGTCTATTTTTTAAATCTGTTCAGTAAAAGTAAAATCCATTTGAATCTCATTAAGAAAAAGATATTTCATCTTCTAAAATTTTCTTGTTTCATGGCAGTGATTTTTCTCTAAGTGCACGCAACTTTGGTCCATTTCTAATGTTGAACAATTTCTTTTTTATAGATGTCATGATTTGTTTTGTATTATTTTTTCCACTTTATTTATCCTTAAATTGAATTTACTGGTCATTATTTATCCTATCCAGATACTCAAGACTGACTTAGAAGTAGGTTTTCTGTATCTTATTCAATAGAGAAAGCTGTCAGCCTTGACATAAAGAATATAGAGGTTTATTTTCAACTTTCCCTGGTACCCAGGTGTTAGCAGATGTTCCTTTATAAACATGGTGAGCAAGTTAGTTCTTAAAGATTTGGACTGCATTTATCTCATAACAGACATTCAATCAGTTTTGTTACAGGACAAAGAGACCAATCCAGTACCAGGAAGGGACTAAATCCCCTTTGAAGGAACAAAAGCCAGAAGTTATTTCTACTACTCAGTTGAATACTGGATACAAGAATGTAGAACATTCCATAGAAGTGAAATGCACAGAAGTGAAGTAGATGCTCAAGTGTCTTCTCTAGGAAATTCAGATTGACCAAGCTAGACCAAGGGTCTCTGGTCCAAAGAAAGCCCCATGGGGTGCTAAGAAGCAAAAACAAGTGATCAGATCTTATACAGAAGCTGGTGAGTGACTGTACAAAAGAAACTCACAATAACAAAGAAAGAAAGGGGAGCAAGGATGCGGGCTCAAGGGAGACTGATCTGCAATACTTACAAACGACTGCAGGCGTTTCTATCAGAATTACGAAATGCTTTCAATGTGAGAATGACACATAACAGATTTAATCGCTATATACCTAGAAACTTTATATAAGCCAATTTAAAAGCACACGTTATTTTTGTAATTTATATAGCACCATAAAAGACCCCTTTACAAGAAGAAAAATTCTAAAGTCATAAAATTTTCAACTAAGCTAGTTTTTCATTTGAACTACTAAATGTAACTATATTTTGTCCTTTAACCAACATGTTGGAATAGATAAAACATGCTACTGAATCAAAGTTTCAATCTTACCCTGAAAAATCAGCAGAATATTGTCCATAATCAAAGATATAGACTCTAGTAATTTGGCACACTGTGAGGTATCCCAAAGCAAACACAAAACAATATCTGGAAAACAAAAATAAGCTAGATTAGTGAAAATAAAAGATTCATTTTGTTAAAGAATGCATTTTGAAGTAATTTATTAACTACATGATATCGTTCGAAAATTACTACTAGATCTACTCCACAAATAGCTTTCTTCAATAAATTATAAAACCTCTTTACTAGTATCTGCTTCAGTTTACTTGAATTTTGTACCATCTTCAATGGCAAATGCATTTAATTACTGCCTTTATTTATTTTTTTCCTTATGAAAGACCTCCATACACCCTATTATAGCTGAAAGTCATGCTCACAAGCATAAAACTGTAAATAATTGGTATTTATTCTATTTATTCCTCCTTTCTAGAAAACAAAATTTAGCACAAAAATATTTGGTTAAAACATACATTGAACAAATTCTTAGTAGGATTTTTAAAACTTGTCCTCAATAGTCTGAAATCATATATCCTTAGTGTGGGTCAGATGGCATTTACTCACATTTTATAGGCACAAACGTAGCGATTTTCACAATTTTAAGATGCTTGTAAGGGAGTTACAATAATTAAAAATATACTACAGGAAAAAGAACTTACATATCAATAGAAGAGACTAGAATCTCAGAAACAGATTCTAGAATATATAACATTGCATAAGATGACGGCTGCAACGAAAACTAGCAGGAATGGATGGATTATCACCTAATTAAACAATCTGGGTGGGGGAAAGGGTGTTATAAGTATATCTAAACAATTCTAGCTGGATTAAAGAATTATATATACAATATAAAACCAAAATACATAGGAACTGTGAATAAATATTCAAATATTCTCAAATTGGGGAAGGACTTTCTAAACATATATAATAGAGAAGAAATCAATAGGAAAAAAACTAATATATTGGGCTAAGTTAAAATCTTAAACTTCTCACATAGGCAATTCAGGTGGTTTTATGTAAGAGTTCTTTCAAGCTTTAGACAAATAGGTGATTCTGATCTACCTGAATTAATCCTGAGCAAAGAAAAAGGGAGGAAACCTTCCTAATTCAAATATTTTACAAAGTTAGTAAATTCCTGATGGCTATACCTGACAAAATAGCACATATGCATACTCACACAAAGTGCTGACAAATCAAACTTAAAAGGATTTCTAAAAATCATATGGCAAATTGTATTTTCCAAAGATGGCTGCAACAATATCTCCCAATTCATATGCTCTTCTACAACCTGACCTTCTGCTCCCTTAGGAAGAGGAAGAGGCTACTTCTCTACCCACTTAGAATCTGAGCTGGCCCTCTAACTGCACTGACCAGCAGATTATGGCAGAAGTAACACTTTGCTACTTCTAGGCATAGCCCATAATTAGCCTGGCCATTTCTACTTCTTGCCTTTTGGAAGCTGATTGTCAAAAAAGAAGTGTGACTATCCTAAGACTACCACATGTAGAGGGTCTGGAGGATGCGATACACTGTGGAGAGGAGGGGGGAGGCGGAGAGAGAGAGATGGAAGGAGGGCGGAGGGAGAAGGAGCGCCAAGTCGTAGGATATGTGAGTGAAAACGCTGATGTCATACAAAAAAGAGATATATCTAGTTGAACCTTTCCTGAATTTCCTACCCACAAAATCATAAGCAAAATAATAGACCAATTTGTTTTAAGCCACGAGGTTTTGATGTACTGACATAATCAGAACAGAAACTGGTAGGTGAAAATTGTTTTTTTGTTACGGTGCTACCATAACAAAAACCTAAAACACACTGCATTGGCTTTAGGACTGGGTGGCAGGTGGAAGCAGAAAAGGTCTTGAGGAGATTGCTAGTGAAGATATGAAAGGCAGTAAGGAAATTGTAATTGGAAGCTACGGAAAAGGCAACTCATGTTACACAGTGGCAGAAACTGGGTAACACTGTTGTCTGCCATAACACAGAAAATAGTAAATATACCTAATAAAAGCACCAAGAGTTTTCTTTTAGATGCATATGACAAGGTATGGATAGAGAGAGATGAACTGAAAAAGAAAAGTATTCAGGTTTTGAGCAGAATTTAGGAAAAAAAGAAAGGGTTCAGGACAGTCTTTCCAGTCAGCAAAATATTATTTATTTATTTATTTATTTATTTATTTTTGGTGAGGAAGACTGGCCCTGACCTAACAGCTATTGTCAATCTTCCTCTTTTTGCTTGAGGAAGATTGTCGCTGAGCTAACATCCGTGCCCATCTTCCTCTATTTTGTGTATGGGATGCCGCCAGAGCATGGCTGGATAAGGAGTGCATAGGTCCGTGCCCAGGATCCGAACCCGCGAACCCCAGGCCGCCAAAGTGGAGCACACGAACTTAACCACTATGCAACCAGGCCAGCCCCTCAGAAAAATATTCTTAAACTGATCAGGGTAAAGATGAAGTCAAAGGTACTCCTTGATGACACCTCAGAAATTTTTTTTTTTAACTTTTTTTTTTTAAATGTTTTGTTTTTTTTTTTTTCCCCCAAAGCCCCAGTAGATAGCTGTATGTCATAGATGCAAATCCTTCTAGTTGGTGTACGTGGGACACGGCCTCAGCATGGCCTGAGAAGCGGTGTGTCGGTATGCGCCTGGGATCCAAACCTGGGCTGCCAGCAGCGGAGCGCGCGCACTTAACTGCTAAGCCACAGGGCCGGCCCATACCTCAGAAAGTTTTAAGGGCACATTTTTATAGAACCTTTCAGGAAAAAAAAAGTTTCTAAAAATCTTAAGGGTATGCCTCTTAGACTCTCTGCTAGACAAGAACGTTCTTTAAAAATCTGAAGGTGTTATCCAGCAGCACTTTCAGACCAATGTAAAAAGGAGACTGTTGAAAACAGATCTATGGGTGTAGCTCCTGTCTAATGGAGGAGATTATAATTAGATACACAGGAAGCCCACGTTGTTTTTTAAAAGACTTATATGAGATTAGATTGAAAAGGAGAAGCAGTTCAAAATGAAAAGAGATCTTTAAATTCCCAACTATCTACTGGTAGGTAGCAGGCTAAGAAAGCTATTCAACTGCAAAATCTGGCTATTTCTTGTGAAAAAGGAAGGACAGTTCAGGTGAGGAGTCAAGAACCCAGAGGGTGAAGCCAAGACCCACAGAGAACCACTCACAGGGACTAGGTCTGGGCCCTGATCAAGGAACTGGTAACAGGTGTCTGTCTGAATTTCACAACCGCTATGGAGCAGGGATTGCTAAGTGACTTCCATTCCCCTCCTTTTTTAACTCAAGTGTCTACTATAGTTATTCTATCCCTGTTCATTGTGTATCAGGTACATCAGGGGCCAAAAATTTGCCCCTTTAGTTTACTGGTCCTCAGATGGAGAAAAACTATCCTGGAGGAACCATACCCAAGAAGCCTCATCCATACTAAGGACAAGATAGAGATCTCAAGCTTGCTGCCATAACGAGATGAGACTTTCGGGATCTTGGGAAGGAAGTGAATGTATCTTCTATGCAGGATTTATGTGAACTGTAGGGACCAGAGGACAGACTATCTCCAAAGATTGCTGCCCCCAATAACAATCCTCCCTGTTGCACATGTAGCTCTGTATATCAACAGCTGGAATATAATTCTCCTCCCCTTGAATTTGGGCTGGGCTTAATATTTGGTTTACCAATAGAATACAGTGGAAATGACTTCCTGAAACTTCAAGACTAGGTCATAAGAAGTCTTGCTCCTTCCTCCTGGGTTTCTTGGAATGCTTGTCCTTAGCATGCTCTCTCTGAGCCCAGCCCACATGAAGAGGCAACAACATGTAATTGCTCCAGTGAACAATCCCAGCTGATCTCCCAGCCAACAGCCAACATCAACTGCCAGCTGTAGAAGGGAACCATCCTGGATGTCAAGCAGTCAAAATTTCAAACAACTGCAGTCCTAGCCAACATTTAATAGCAACCACACGAGATCCCAAGCAAAACTGTCCAGCTGAGTCTAGTCAACCAGAGAACCATGAAAAACAATAATAAACTGGTGTTAAGCCACTAAGTTTGGGGTGGTCTGTCATGCTGCAATAGATAACTGAAATAATTCCTTACTAAGAGTTTAGTACACTAAAACTAATAGTAATTTAAAATACTTGACCTTGATCAAGTAGGGCTTATTTGATAAATCCAAGTATGATTCAACATAGGAAGATTAGTAATATATATCATCATAATGATGAGTCAAAGGACAAAAATAGTTTTAATAGATACACAAAAAGGCATTTAATAAAATTCAATAACGTTTCCACATAAAAATAAAACGCTTAGTAAACTAAGAGAAAAGGATGCTTCTTTAATATTACAAAAAGACCTATCAAAACATTGAGCACTTTGTTGGCTTTGAAACACTAGTAATTCATGGGGGAAAGCATATGAAAGTTTTTGAGGTGGGAAAGAAGAGATTTTTGTGTTAGTATGGATTAACTTACTTTTAGACTTATTTGGAAAATTTAAATAACATTAAAGTCCACTCTCCTAAAATTAACCTCTAAATTTAACATCATAATCCCATCAAAATGCTAATAATACTTTTAGTGAAACCTGACTAGCTGATTTTCAAGGTCTTCTGGAAAACTAAACAAACATGATGAGGACGACCTGCCCTATCCTAGCAAATAAAAGAATATATCACGGTGATTTATAACGTAGTATTGTTTCAGAAATAGATCAAAAGATTAACTAAACAGAGAAGAAAGTCCAAAAAAAGACTCATCGTACAAATGAAAGTTTTTGTTTATTATAAAGCTGGCATGTAAAATTAGGGGGAGAAGGATGAATGAGGTAAATGGGGTTAAAAAGTTAGCTCTCCTTTCTGAAATAACAATAGTTTCCCAGTTCACATGACACACACATGTACAAAAATCCAGTCAGATTATGAAAAAATCTAAATGTAAAAAATAAGACAATAAAAAGTACTTGAATAAAATACAAAAGAATATCCTCAAAATCCTGGAATGGGAAAACCTTCATAAGCATCACAAAAATCATAAATGCCATGGAGGTAAAGTCTGACACTTATTATATAAACATTGGAAATTTCT